GCTACTTGGGAGGCTGAGGCAGGAGACTCGCTTGAGCCCACAAGTTGGAGGTTGCTATGAGCTGTGATGCCATGGCACTCTACCCAGGGGGATAGCTTGAGGCTCCGTCTCAAAAAAAAAACCTTAACAGAGAATACTTAAGCCACATTCAACATCCTGCCAAATTAAAATCCAATAATACACACTTTCAGAATGAGCTAAATACAATCCAACCAGTCAGGATCATTTCCAAGACTTTAACCCATGATCCCATTCCCTGTTGCTAATTCCAAGAGCTTTTGGCTACATGATCAGGCAATCAATAGAGCCTGTGCCACAACAAACCTAGCTGGGAAAGGCCCGTGACCAGGGACAGTGTCATGTGAGTTAGCAGCAGACACTTCCATGTGAGGAACACAGAAAGCCCTTGGTACATGTGCAGTGAAGGAGCACACAGGAAGGGATGCCTTCGCAGGGCTACACAGTGCTTGCTTCCTTTTCTCCTCTGACTTCTAGGTCAATCCTGAGGGTTATTCTTTTTCATAGTTGAAGATTCTGAGGCTTGGAGATTAAGGAACTTCATAAGGTCACACAATTGGTGACTGGCAGAGCTGAGAACACAAATCTAGGTCTATTTTGGCTCCAAAGCCTGTGCTCTACTCACTTACCCTGTAAACAGCCATGTCTCTCAAGTTCCATCCTTTCCATTAATGCCCTGTTCCAGTTCACAAAGTCCCAGGACTCAGGGTAAGTTCAAGGAAAACATCTTTGCAATGGTTTTTCATAGGTTATACTTACACAGATGTGACTGAAGGAGAGAACTTACTTACCCAAGGCTGCCTTGGTCTCTGTTACTGCCTTTGCACTGGGGATGGGAGGGGTGCTAGCCATGCTGTTTCCATTTGACAGTCCTTCCAGAGGCTTCCCTCCAGCACCACCACCAAATCCAGAAAACCCTCCTCCTCCAGAAGGTACAACCAAACCTTTAAAACCTTTAAAGGCTCCTCCACTATCAGACTGAAATATGAAGAAAGATTTCATATTAGGTAAGTATACTTTCTATCACTAAATAAGCAAGTGGCATCACCTTGGCTAAATGTCCCAGAACCTAGACTCTGAACACAATTAGCATTACAAGGAAAACTATGGCACAAGCAGAAATAGAAAGTGAGACAGTGTTCATGAGAACAGCTTTACAACACCAAACTGCCTTCCTGAAAGAGCCAAGAAGGATAATCGTAAGTTATGGCAAAATATATTTTTAAAAATGTACTAAGTGTATTTGAACATAAAGATAATACAAGGCTGGGCGCAGTGGCTCATACCTGTAATCCTAGCACTCTGGGAGGCCAAGGTGGGTGCGTTGCTTGAGCTCAGCAGTTTGAGACCAGCCCGAGCCAGAGCAAGACCCCATCTCTAAAAATAGCTGGGCATTGTGGTGGGTGCCTAAAGTCACAGCTACCAGGGAGGCTAAGGCAGGCAACAGAAAAGCTTGAGCCCAAGGGTTTGAGGTTGCTGTGAGCTATGACACCATAGCACTCTACCAAGGACGACAAAGATTCTTGTCTCAAAAAAAAAGAAGAAAAAAAGAGATAATACAGACTAATGCAATAAATGTATGTACCTACCACTGAGCTTCAGAATCGCCAAAAACATTCTCAATATAACTAAGCCCCCCCTACCCCCATCAAGGCCACTTACCTAAGAAGTTGTTGAAACATTAAGTTACATTAAATAAAAATACTTTAGTCATCACCTAATTTTCAAACAACTTATGTAGCTTTCAGTCTACAGAAACATAAGATAATGATGAAGTCTCAAAACGCCACGTCCTGTCAATTGAGCGATCCGGGGCAACCTTCTACCTCACCGTTATTAACTGTCTTCGCAAGGTTTTTCTGGCAGGCCCCCATCCCTTTGTGCTAGCTCGCTCACATTTCCAACCTAAGATGCTCTGGGAATGTTTACAATTCCTTATTTTCATAAGGAATTTTAAAGCTGATCTCTGCCCTGGGAACTTTTGGAGAAAGGTTTCTTATTTTACAGTGCTTTGCTAAACTCATGGCAATTTTTATAAAACTTTTTGGTTAAACCACAGGGGGTGATCTGCTTCTTATACCAAACATCCAAGACAATTCCTAAATCTCAAGTTTTCACATAAATGAATTATAACTACAATCTCAACACATACATAAAACACTTAAATGGAAACCTCTTCATTTTCTACATGAGCCAGTTAACCTAAACATTATTACATCTTTCAACCACATGAGGTGTACTGACCACTCCCACAGCTTAGATTCTTGTGCCCTAAATGTGACTTTTTACAAAGCACTCCAGACTAACGGCTACCATTTGCAACAATCATCCACGGACAAGCTGTAAAGCTCCAAGTGGCTCCTGAGGGACTTTTATTTTGCACTAGATTTAAAAGCCTCACAGTATTTCCAGGTATTTTAGAAACTGCTGATAATAAACTGGCTCTAGATTAGAATCATAATAAAAGAACGACTAGTTACAACAAAAACAAAACGGCATTCAGAAAAATGAGAGTGAAAGTTGAATGAGAAGATAGCCATCTGGGCTCCACGGGGCATCTGTCCCCTACCCCATTTATCTGCACAGGCAAGACGGCAGCAAATGTGACTCAGCTTAACTCCTCCACGTCCACCAACTAGTCTTAAGGCACTGATAAAATTAGACCAGAAAATGAGAATAAAATGAGTGAAGATTAAGAGATCCATTGTGCCGCATGATGGCTATAGTTAATTGCAATGTTTTGTATACCTGAAAATTGCTGAGAGATTTTTAAGTGTTCTCACCACAAAAAAAGTACATGAGGCAATGCATATGTTAATTAGCTCAATTTAGCCACAACGTATACAGATTTAAAAACACCAAAAATAGATAACTTTTGTCAATTAAAAATAAATGAAAATATTTAAGAAAAAATTAATTAAAAAACAGAAATCCTAATCTTCAGGCTTGGTTCTAAGATCTTCCTCGGCAGTGCAACCTGAGTTACCCTGCAGTTCTGCACGAAAGAGCTCTATAGCTCCAGGAAATAAGATTTCTCTAACACATGCAAGGGAAAAGAGAAGAAATGTGTATTTGTTACGTTAGCCATTATATCCTACATCGAAGGTGCCAAATAATGTATACATCTGGTATCTTGTATCTCTTATAATTGCAGAAGTCAAATGTGATTCAAGTATTAACAATTTTAATACAGTTTTCTCCTTTCTTGAAATGTGTATGCATTTTGTTGGTGCCTTCTGTATGTTCAGGTGACTACGTGGAACCACTAGAGAATTGATATGCTGTGTGATTGTGTATCTCTGCTTTGAATTATAATTTCTTAGGGAAATATAAATATAATGCTCCAGTAAGTTATTTCCTTTGAGTGCCATGTCAGCACTCAAAGAGCTTCAGATTTTGGAACACTATGAATTTTCAGATCAAGTACTAGCAACCTGTGTGAGAATGAAGTTTGCTCTTCCTTTAAAAAAATTAACACTGCAAAATATGTAGCTGAGTGATTTATCCCAAAGCTGTCACCAAGTATATTCACAGTGGCCTCTCCTGTCTGACAACAGATGTTTAGGCCACAAAGACAGCACTTTAATGGTCTAGAAGGTACCTAAGGAGTGAGGAAGAGCTCTGGGAAGAACTCCTGAATGTCGAATCATCGCTAAATACTGACCACATGATTTCAACTCAAGAGTTACAACTCATCTTTTATCTTCCTGAGCACAGGAATGAGACATCTTAATATATTACACAGCCATACTAGAAAGGACACTGACACACGAAACGCCTCTAGTGTGGTGAAAGGGCTCTCCCTCCCAGGGCGGGTCCCAGGGAGCAGGGGAGATTCTGTGCAGACTTACCGTTTCCATCTCATACCACTTCTGCTACCTTTTGTACTACTAGATTTGTTTCTCTTCTTCATATTGTCACTCAGCTTGAATCTGTTTATCTTTTTTGAAACAGAGTCTTGCTTTGTCCCCCCGGTAGAGTGCTGTGGCATTATAGCTCACAGCAACCTCCAACTCTTGGGCTTAAGCAATTCTCTTGCCTCAGCCTCCCAAGTAGCTGGGACTACTGGTGCCCACCACAATGCCTGGCTATTTTTTTGTTGTTGTTGTCACTGTTGTTTAGTAGGCCTGACCCAGGTTCAAACCTGCCAGCCCCAGTGTATGCGGCTGGCGCCCTAACCACTCAGCATAGGTGCTGAGGCGTCATAGCTCACAACAAACTCAAACTCTTGGGATTAAGTGATTCTCTTGCCTCAGCCTCCCAAGTAGCTGGGACTACAGGTGCCTGCCACAATGCCTGGCTATTTTTAGAGGCAGGGTCTGTCTCTGGTTCAGGCTGGTCTCAAACACCTGAGCTCAGGCAATCTACCTACCTCAGCCTCCCAAAGTGTGGTTCTATTTATCTAATTTCCTCAGTTGGATAAGCTCCCTTTACTAAGGTACAGACTTTGTATTTTTTTTCCATATGTCCTATGACCTACACCAAGAAGCCACTCTATAGCATCTGTTGATATGCTTGCTCCCAGACTCCATGTGAAAAATGCACTTAGAAATGAAATCAGTATTTAACACTGAAAACTGTGAGAAAGTACTCACTTCAAATCCAACATTTCTCCGCTTTGCTTTCTTTATGGCTCTATTCTTCAAGACTTCCTCACTGGCCACTGAGAATGTTCCTACCTGCAGAAGTATACAAATTAAACAGCAGTAAGATGAGGCCCCAAAGGAGATAAAATGCTGAACAAAAAAGCTACAACAAATTTATCTGTATCTGCTGGTTTTCAAATATTGTTTATATTGGTATGTTAAAGAAAAAATTTATGTCTATTATCTATCTTGTGTATCCCAATTCCAGTTGGGCAAATCATGAATCTTCTAGAATCTCCACCTAGGTTTCAGATCCCAATCCAGAGAGGAATACATGAGGAAAAAACTTTGAAAAGACTAAGACTATCACAATTTTGGGCAAAAATATTCATGACCAATTCTTTGAATATTTCTGTATATATTTTAAGATATTAATAAAGCATAGAATAAAATTCCAGTTTTCCTTAAGAAGCAAAAACTATTATCTAAAATCTAAAAGGTACCTTAAATAAAGATCCTGAAGAGCTGACAGTGCAGCCTGTTTTGAACCGAGACACCCAAACTTACATTTTACTACTAAGGTTTTCAAAATTAAATTTTCTATTTATAACACATTCTTTTTAAGAAGAGTCCTGCCCAATTTGCCCATTGCACAAAAAAGATCCTGAGGCACCTAAAGCTCTAAGTGACACTGCTGCTGAAAAACCGTAACTTGTCCACAATCCACTAACAGAGTTATGTCCACAATCAGGAATCTTCTGGAAAAAAGATCTTTCGCTTTACTTTAACCCTTCATTTACACCCTGCAGGGCGAGATTAAAATATCTCCCTGCACAAAAATTCTCATCTACAGTTATTTCAGATCACGTTAAACTTAACAGGATCATCCATAGCAAGGACCTTTGAGCTGCACTTGCCCTAAGCTAAATGTAATCAATTAATGTAATCTTTGCTCATTCATTTCATTAGAATATGTTCAAATGGGAGTACTGTCACTCCTGGATATTTTAATGCCAAAGCAAATTGTTATGATGGTCCATATCTTACTATAGCACACAATTTAACTGTGCTTAGGATCCAAAGAAAATCCAACATCAAAGATAGTTAAAAAGTATCAAGTCAGTTAAAGGCCCTGTAAAAACATAACATACTTGTGATTCTGATTTCTCTAAACATATTAGGGTACATGTACATGTAAAGAAAAAATACTAGTCCTAGACAAGATTCAGAAGGACGGGAATCACCAGCCTAAGAATATTTATTTAGCCCTATGCTATTAACTTGTAAGGCTAACTTGGTTAAAGATTTCCTTAGCTAAGTGGTCTGGGAATATCAAACTGCTAGTAAGGTACTAGAAATGCACTTGTATTTTGTTCTTTATAAGGGAAAAATAACATTTCTTCAGGGAAGACCAATTTCATTTGGCTGGCAAGGAAACTAGGCCAATCTAAATTCTATTTCTATTAATGTGATTGTTAGGGATCTCAGTGCAATTACAAAAATAGGAAATAAAGCAGGCCTCCAAAAAGTATTCAAGTACGGAGTACAGCAGATTAAGAGTAACAGGGCACTTTCCAAGTCTGAGCACAGTCACTGTGCTAAGTTCATGACTAGATCACATAATTCATCTTTTAGCCACAACTGAAACAATTTACTCAAAATCAAGGACTTACAATGCTGCAAGTATATGAAATTCAGGAAGAAGATGCTTCTACAAAGGAAAATATTTAAGGAACAGGTGCTACTGGAAAAAGACACCCCAAAATAATTAATAAATTTCTACACTAACAGGTTATAAGGAATCATAATGGTATCTCCCATTCAGGATGTTCTTAAAATATCCTTTAATTCTATCACAAATCTTCATGAGGAAGTTCAAAATGAATATAAATATATAAATACAGAAACAGCAGCAAATTATTCTTTTTTTTTTTTTTTAAAGACAGAGTCTGACTACATTGCCCTTGGTAGAGTGCCGTGGCATCACAGCTCACAGCAACCTCAAACTGTTGGGCTTAAGAGATTCTCTCGCCTCAGCCTCCAGAGTAGCTGGGACTACAAGCGCCCGCCACAACGCCCAGCTATTTTTTGTTACAGTTGTCATAGTTCCGCTGGCCTGGGCTGAGTTCAAACCTGCTAGCCTGGGTGTATGTGGCTAACAGCATGACCTCTGTGCTACAGGCATCGATCTAGGAAATTATTCTTAAGGAAACTACTTCTTACCTCTTCAGCTTCATCTTCTTGATCCCAGTTCCTATCTGTCAATTCCTTCTCAGCAATTCTTTTGGCCATTTTTTTGCACCTAAGTTTTAGAAAATAGAAGTTAAAAGCCTGCTTTTCTAAATCAAGATGCAACTTTCATGAAAAATTTTAGAAGTTCACTCTAGCATGAAATGAGATTTAAAAAAAACAGTTCTGATGCCAACAGAAAGTGCTTGAATGAGAACTTTACAGTATCAGGCTCCCAGTGTTACAAACCTAATAAAGGATTATTGGAGAAGACTCTTAGGGAACACCAGCCCTTGTTTTAAATAACACTAAACCAAGTCCATTTGGAATCCTAAGTACTGTTTATAGAATTAAAACATCCTTAACTAACTTATCCTATTCAAGTATCACACTTCCCTTCTTGCTATAAGCAAAATAATTTTAATATTTAAAATCCTCGGGGTAGTGCCGGTGGCTCAGAGGCTCAGTGAGTAAGGCAGTGGCCCCACATACCGAGGGTTCAAACCAGTCCAGGCCAAACTGCAACAATAAAAAATAGCCAGGCGTTGTGGTGAGCACCTGTAGTCCCAGCTACTGGGGAGGCTGAGGCAAAAGAATTGCCTAAGCCCAAGAACTGGAGGTTGCTGTGAGCTGTGACGTCACAGCACTCTACCAAGTCACAGCACTCTACCAAGAGTGACAAAATAAGACTCTGTCTCTATTAAAATATATATATATACACATATATATATATTTAAAATCCTCTTAAAGATGATAAACATTTAAGATGTTTTATCTTTTAACAAGGCAATGGAAATATGAAATCTCTTCACAGTACTTTTTTCTGTACTCTATAGTTGACAGAAATACACGTTCCGGCTCGGCGCCTATAGCTCAACCGGCTAAGGCACCAGCCACGTACACCTAAGGTGGCGGGTTCGAATCCCCAGCCGAGACCCGCCAAACAACAATGATGGCTGCAACCAAAAAACAGCCGGGCGTTGTGGCGGGCGCCTGTGGTCCCAGCTACTTGGGAGGCTGAGGCAGGAGA